GGCGCGCGCCTACGAATACATTTTTCAAGTGCGGGCGCGCGCCGGGCGCGCCATTTCAAAATTTGCGGGCAGGTGGACCAGTGCCGGGAACCAAGGCAACGAACCCAAGTGAATAAATAGCAACTAAATTAAATGTCAACCCAATGGCGACAACCAAAATGCAACCAAGCCAACCAAAATGCAACCAAATAATTATGGGCAATGGCAACCAAAATGCAACCAGTGGCAACAAAAAATGCACAAACTATAATATGCAACCTTATTATGGAAGCTCCAAAATGCAACCAGTGGCAAACAAAATGCAACCAATGGCAACCAAAATGCAACCAAAGGCAACCAAAATGCAACCAAATGGCAACCAACATGCAACCAAATTGTAACCAACATGCAACCAAATGGCAACCAACTTGCAACCAAATGGCAACCAACATGCAATCAAATTGCAACCAGCATGCAACCAAATGGCAACCAACATGCAACCAATGACAACCAAAATGCGACCAATGACAACCAAAATGCAACCAATGACAACAAAAAATGCAACCAATGACAACCAAAAGGCAACCAATGACAACCAAAATGCAACCAAATGACAACCCAAATGCAACCAAATGACAACCAAACTGCAACCAAAAAACGACTTAACAACGGTAAGGCAAACTATCGAACTCACCAGCTGGCTCCGTGGTAACACGTGGGCGCCCAATCCATTCCACATTGGGACTGGGAAGCTCAACTGCTGGAAGACAGAATCTCGCTCCCGCTTGTCCTTTCCGATCGTTCTTCAAGCGTCCCGTCGCTAGAAGCACAGCAGCAAACGAAGCCACAGTGGGAACCGAGATAGTGTTGCCTGCAATGGCATTCAACTCCAAGTCCTGAGATGGGCAAACGCAGCCGCAAAACTCCTCAAAACTCAAAACCATATCATATCTGCCCATCCTGAATACCATTGCAAGTTGCAACTGCAAAAAAAGAAACTGATCAGCCATTGAACAGGAGAGCTGGCGACGGCATGCGCCCAAAAATAAAAAACAATAAAAGAAATAAATCAAATCAGCCAAAGGAGCTGGAACAGACACGACTTTGCCTTTCACAGTTCCCTCACATACAAGGCTTGCATCAAACCCCTGGCCGTAGAGGAGCTCCTGTCCAAGAATCACCCTGCCCTCTGCAAAGTGCCAAAGACGATGCCTCCGCAGAAGGCACGGCAGCACTCCCCAATAACTCGGGCTCTTCCAGCAGGCGTACTTGACACTGTTGGTCAAATCCCACACCAAACCTCTGGGAACAATAGATTTGTCATCCGCATTCTCGACATTGTCCTCGCATGCGTTGTCCAGCCTCAAACAAAAAGTCGGCGTGCCAATGAATGGAGTACGGATTGGTGATTGTATGAACAACGTGACTTTGACTCTGACTCTGACTCTGTCCAAATGTTGGCCAACCAGTTCCTAGACCTTTCAATCAAGAGACACCCAGGAATGCATGTAAAGAAGGTCTTGCTCGCGGGCAGGAAGTAGTTTACTCCAAGCGTTGCCGTACAGGTTCAAGAGTTCGCGAGGAGGTGGCACCTGCTGCAGTCCATGCTTAGGAAGCGACTCCAACCAACCGACAACTCAGAATTCAGTGATAGTGACTCAGAGTCAAAGTCAAGTCGTGAGTGGTGGTGCTCCAGCCCCAGCCTGTTCCCCAGCTGTGCATAAATGGCAGCTTTGGCTACCTGATGGTCTTTATGGCATTTAGGCCAGCTCGCACCACCTGCCATGCTTTCCACAATTTGGTCTGTTGACTGTTGTCGCCTCGATTGAAGCGTCTTGTGGAAATTCAGCACCCTGGGATCTGTACTGGGAAGCATCAGGCCTGGGCAAGGTGGCAAATAGACAAGATTCCGAGACTCTAAACTCTAGACAGTCTAAGTAGTCTAAACCCAACAAAAAGGAAGAAAAGGTGTTGTTTTCATATTGTGGTCCTGCATTGTTGCGCTTTGCTTGCCTGTAGACCAACCTATATAGCAAAAGTCAAGTGAGATTGAGATCGATTATCGATTCGACAAAACCAGTCGTGGTCCAAGAGTCGCGTAAAGTCTGTCTTTGATGACAATCCGGATATCTCCTGGCAATCAAGGGAGAAGACTCGACTCAACCAGGACTACCGGACTACCTGTGTCCTACAGTAACATATGTCCCGTCAAGTCAATGTGTTTCAATGTCAATATGTCACATGTCCAAGTTCTCTGCCACATCCCACTCCCTCACCCCCTCCTTCAACCAAGAAGTCCATTGGGCGACTACAGTTTCATGGCCGCAGGCGGGATCTGGAAAATCAATTTGCCCTGGATCCAAGGCAATGATGAAAAGCCTTGTGCGGCTCTGCGGAACGCCACAGCTGGATGAATTGGTGAAGTAAGCCTGCGCGTAGTACGAGAGCTTATGCAAGCAATGCACCACAACCTCTGCCGTCCGTTTCTTGGCGACATTTTCCAGAATGATGTACGCCTCGGCTGTTGCCCAACCCGCGGCCGCTCAGAATTTACTCAAGGCTCACGATAAGGCTTCGGCAGGCCGCTTGCTCTTCACATATTCGAGGGAAGCGTTCAAAGTCTTCGAAGACATACCAGACCTCGTCAATGCTAATTCTTGTTAGCAAGTCAGAATTCCTAAAATTTTCGGTTTAAACAATGACTCTGACTCTGACTCTGACTCAATATTTCAATTTTCCATTTCAGGTTGCAAATTTGATTTCAAAACCTTGATTTGAGACTGTATTCTTTGTGCTTGCATAATCTCACAATCTGGGCCACGTGCTCCTGCGTGATGGCGAGATTCAGCTCTTTCCGGGAATTGTTCATACAGCTCAGGTCCTGGTCAGTCAGGTGAGAGTCAGGTGCATTTGATCTGTTTGTCCGACCCTATATAACTCAAACTAAATCAAATGCAAATGATTTCTGAATCAATCCCACTCCTGGCATTCAAAGCCACCTGTGTAAAAGTCCACTTTGGGAACATACATCTTGTCACCCGTCAGCCAGTCAACTCCCTTTGAGCGATCTCGTGCCTGACAGCAAAATGCTTAGCGGGGCACACAAACAAACACCACACCAAAGCCAAAGCCACAGCTTAGATGGACGGCTCAGGCATAGACTAGAACATCGTCAAAAATGATTGCTGGAGGTGGCTTGCAATTGAGCATCATCATGTTCTTCTGGTGTTCTCCAGCTTTGCCAGGCGCTTCGCTTGCAAAGCAATGTGACATGCTGACCTTGCAGTGCAGTAGCACTACCGAGCTGCTGCTTGGTGGACAGCAAAACCGTGCAGCGCAACCACTCAGCAAACAAACCCGGCCATGACACACTCAGTCGATCCAAAATGCTCCGTAGCCCAAACGCTCGAGAGTCTATGCCCGAACAATCTGATCCGTAGCGCAGCTCAGATCCGGCAGGCCAGTTGGCCTCCAATTCCCCTTGCAGAACTGCAAAAATATTGTTGACCCACTCCTTTTCAGATGGCGATGGCCTCACGTCATCGGCCTGCGACGGTGGTTGGTAACTTCCATGGTAGCGGTTGAGCAGCAGCTAGCGACAGTAACACTATATAATATCAGTATCATATCATATATTATCATATCATCAGAATTGAATTGATACTTGAGTTAGTCATAGTCATGGCTCTGAAAAGTAACGCCGGCCTTATTCAACCACGGACAAGAGGTCTTCTTCCTCAGCCGCAGCCTATGCGGAGCCAGGCTCGGCTGGCCATGGCCTGAGGGAACCAAGTTGGCGCCTCAACTACAGTAGCTACGGCGCTGAGTCCCCCAGCCATCTTCCTGCTTGAGTGGGTCATCGAAAGCAGAGGATTGCCTGGCCTCAGTCCCACTAAGCAAACGAAATCGGCACCTGCAAGAATTGCAGCTCAGCTCACTGAGACATTAGCCAAAGCGGTTGTCCGGACATCTTCTTGGCATGCA